CTTCACCTCCTGGAGTGGAAGGGAGGCTGCCCATAGTGGACATTGGCATTCAGATCAAGAATCTGTCATGTCCCTGGCCTACCAGGTAGCTGCGTTGATTAGAGCATCATCTGGATACGCCAAGGTTGCCAGTTCGATCCCTGGTTAGGATACACACAAGAATCAACCAACAAGTGCATGAATGGGTGGAACAACAAATCGATGTTTCTCTCTCCCTCTCCCTCTCTCCCTTCTTCCTCTCTCTCAAAATCAATCAATAAAACAAAATTAAAAAGAATCTGTCATGACCCTGGCTCTCCATCTCAGAGTTTAAGAAGGGAGGTGATTGGTTGAGTAGAAGAACCCTGAGCCTCCTCTGTGGAGCCCCCGGAGTCAGGGGGTCTTAGACTAGATACTAGGAAGGACTTAACAACCAATCTTAACTTCTAAGGCCAAAAAGGAACAAATTCAATCAGTAGGATGTGCTTCGTGTCACTTGTACACTTTTTTTAAAAAGAGAAAACGTGTCCATCAATAGGAGCTGGATAATAAATACAGCATACACAGAAAATGAAATGTGATCCAGGCATTAGAAATGAGAGGGCAGCTTGGATTGAGTGTTGATAGAAATTAATCTCTAAGATATAGTGAGAAATAAGGGTACAGAATTAAGAGTACTATTATTTGTTCACACACACACACACACACACACGAATGTACATGCATTTTCAAGCACATGAAATATCTCTAGAAGAGAAGAAATTCCAGGCAGAGGACCTGGGTAACTAAGGGGTACACATGGGAAGGCAATTACTTTGCATTTACACCATTTTATACCTTTTGCAATTTATACCATGTGTATATATTATCTGTTCAAAAATTAATTGCTCTTTAAAATAGCTTTTATTTACCTCCTTTTCTTCTATCCACAGGGAGGAAATTTGGGCTCTTCCTAAACCATGTTGCCACTATTCGCATAATCTCAGCTCACGTGCCCTTTCTCCTTTTATTATGTGCCTAAATAAAGATAAGCACTAGGTATATAGGACAAAGCCCCTCCATTTTATAGAATAAATAAATAAAACATCAAAATATGTGTATTTGGCAAAGATCTGAAAAACTATGCAGCAAATATTAAGTGCTTATCTTGAGTGTCGGAGATGGGATATCCTAGGGTAATTTTAGTCTTGTCTTAGTAGTTTGTGTGATTTTCTAAGTTTATACAATAACATGTCTTATTTTTATAATAATTTTTAAGTTTAGAAAAACTTTTTGCTACTCACCTGGTTCCTGTCCCTGGCATTTGCATATCGAAACCTCTGGATATAATAAAAGACCAGCCATGCGAGGGAAATGATCATCAGGACGATGAAGGAGATGGAGACAAACACAACCGACGTGCGGCTCACGTATTTCTGCAAGTTCCGGGTACCGATGGTGATGTACATCGTCACGGTGATGTTTCTTTCCAGCAGGCTGACTATCTCTTTCCCTTTGGGCTCAGGAATCATTATCGCCACGATGTCTTCTACGCCTGTTGTGAGAGGGACCAGGGTAAGGGGATGAGAGAGAGCAGGAAAGTAAAAGTGAAATGTCTGGATAAAGTAACATACACCCACATAATGACATTATTTTTGATGATTCTTTGCCAGATTTAATATCCAGGTGCAATTCTAAGATCGAACAGCCAGAAACTGAAGCAAGTTTTCTTTCTTCAGCTACTTTGAGATGCTGCTGTCTTGACTATGAGAAAAGAACCTAAAATGAACTCATAATTTTGGTAGCAGCGAGGTCATGATCAACCTACCCTTCAACTGTCCAAGGTGTTGCTGACCCTGCTAAATAAAGGTGGCAGCTTTCCAACCAGTCCAAGTTTACAGCCCTAAGTTGCATTTCACAACCCTCCCGCCCCCTGAAGAGAGGAAAAGGCACTCTGACCCCATGGCACAAAGGTCAAATGCAGTTTTTTGCCATCTGTCTTCGACCTTTTTCTCTTTCCATCACTCAGACACTCTGAATACTTGATCACAGATCTATACTTATCATTTTCAAGTCAATTTTCTTCTGCAGTGAGTACCCAAAGCAACCCCAAATAGAGTTTCTTATTTTTATTTATTTATTTATTTTTTTATTGCTTAAAGAATTACAAAGAGTATTACATATGTCTCATTCCCCCTCCCCACACCTTGACAATCCCTCGGCCTCCCCTACCCCCCAGTGTCTTATGTCCATTGGTTATGCTTATACGCATGCATACAAGTCCTTCGGTTGATCTCTTACCCCCCCTCCCGCCCCTCAACCCTTCCCAGCCTTCCGGCTGTAGTTTGACAGTCTGTTCGAGGCTGCTTTGCCTCTGTATCTATTTTTGTTCACCAGTTTATAATGGTCTTTATTATCATAAATGAGTGAGATCATGTGGTATTTTTCTTTCATTGACTGGCTTATTTCACTTAGCATAATGCTCTCCAGTTCCATCCATGCTGTTGCAAATGGTAAGAATCCCTTCCTTTTTACAGCAGCATAGTATTCCATTGTATAGACGTACCACAGTTTTCTAATCCATTCATCTGCTGATGGGCACTTAGGCTGTTTCCAGATCTTCACTATGGTAAATTGTGCTGCTATGAACATAGGGATGCATATATCCTTTCTAATTGGTGTTTCCAGTTTCTTGGGATATATTCCTAGAAGTGGGATCACTGGGTCCAAATAGAGTTTCTTAACAAGCTCTAACATGATCTGTTAACATAAAACAAATGGCCTCAGAAATATTTTCTGCTTATTTTACCTAGTTCAATGTAAACCACTTGTGCGTCTCCATACCAAACCAGGGAAGATGGAGGCTGAATAGATAACTCCAGGATTATTTCATCTCCACTCCCAAATACTCCCCCACAACCACAACACCCCTATTACTGGATAGTTTGAAGCAAGAGAGGCAACTTCTTTGGATCAGAGTTATCTGGGTCATTGTCCCTATTCTTTGTGACACTATGTGAGGCTCAGCCTCTCGGTGAGGAGTTCTGGGGCCTCTACAAAGGGGTCTTTAGTAAGGAGGTGAGACCAGCTCCAAATGAACCAACTTGGCACATCACTGTGAATATCAATTTCACTAGGATAGGTTCGCAGGGATCACCCCGTTCAAATTTAGGCCCACAAAGCTCTTCCTGGGCCCCATTTCCAACGGAGATATCCTATTCCCTGAGGTCACTACAAATTAAAGAGAGCAAATTTACAATGAGGATGTTGCAGTTTAGGGACAAAATTAAACACCGCCATAGCTGCTTAAAGCTGGCCTTCTTCACAGGCTGCGACCAGTCAGACGAAACTGACATGTTACCATGGCTCAGGATGGTGCAAGTCTCTTAGAAGCTACTTAGGGCCTTCACTTGACTTTGATCTCTACGCAGATTTTCAATCCTACATTCCTTGATTCCTTTATTCACGGGGGCTAAATAAATACTTTAAAAGCTAATGACATACAAAGGTGTCTGTGTATGCTACATCAATTATATTCTTCTTCTTTTTTTTTAATTCCAGAAACCGTTGCATGGGCCCAGCTGTAAAATCTCAAGGCCACACAGTGTTTAGATTTAGCTGTCAACTTCTGGGAATTACTGAAACTGATGGCTTGAATTTCAACTCTGCAGAATTTACTGACAATTCCAACGCTCCTCTTTCCATGTTTACTTTGGTTAATGGCTGCATGTGGTCTGAGGTTTTGGGAGGGATTAAGGCTGCCAGCAGGTTTTGTCTCTACAGAAATAACTTCTTTGTGTTGGGGACTAATCTGGTGAGGCTCATCCTGGTGCTGTGGCCATCTTAGAGAGATTTCAGTGGTGGGTAGATTCATAACTTTTCACTTAATCGATCCCTTTGCTTACATTTTTAAAGCTTATCTATTCAAAGCTCTAGAATAAGATATTTTTTGAGAAGAGGATCTGGGGTTATTTATAAGACTTTGTATGCTCAGACTTGCACAAGTTCAAAATTCTGACTAGTCAAATCTTACCATTCTATTCCTTATGGCTTTTAGTTTCAACACTCTGCGTAGGAAGCTTCTCCACAAAAGATGACAGAAATACTCATTTAAAACTGCTTTTCGAAACATTTCAGTTTTACGTTTTACGTTTAAATCTTGAACAACCTAAATGTGATTTGACAACAACACAACATGTATTGAGCTCTTATAACGAGATGGCAGAGGGGAGACAGCTAGGATGAAATTTACTTTCACCCTAAATTCTGAGATATATTCGGATCTACCTTTGGATTTTACTTCACGGAAAGGCTGACCTACTTTTTGCTGAACCCACATCAGGCTATTACAGTTGTCCAGGCTTTTAGCAAATTTACTATCTGGTAGCCTAACTCTTCTTCCACTAATTTTCCCCTTACATTTTTCCTCTTATCTACTCATATGAAGAGACCATAGGGCCTAATGGTACTGAGTTGGGCTCTGGAACTGAACAGCTTGTTTCAAACCCCAGCTCAGCATTTTAAAAATAGGCAACCAAAGTTTGGACATCCAAGAAGTTCTAAACTACTCATCATCCATTTTCAGGAACCCGAGAAAACATTTTTCCTTCCTGTAGGGTAAAGCATAATTAACTATTTTTAACTGAGGTGCTTAGTTACACTACCTGTGTAGCTCATACCACGGTTGTGTCTTCGTGACACATGACATCCGCTCGGAAAGACGGAAAATGGTAGTTGGGAGGTTCTAGTCACCTGGATTTTCACTGTATTCATCATCCATATTCATAATGAACTTCTAGGGCTGGCGATGGTAAGTAATAGATGGGTCTCTGGGGTATTTCTCCATGCACTTTTGGTTATGTGTTGTGCATGGTGTGCATTTATCCCAGAAGAAATAGTCATTAAGAACTTAGGCACATAGGCTTTCCCCAAACAGCACAAAGGAAAGTAGATTTGGATGACTTATCTGACCAGTTGGATCAATGCACAAAGTCCAGGGCAAAAAGCTACTGTGGGATCGAATTGTTCCAATGGGACACGTGCACCGATGTGACTTATCAGACAATTCCCTGATCTTTGCTTCGTTTTGGAATGTGCAGCCAGCCTCAGGAGAAGCCAGCAGATTCTTCCCAGGTACACTGTGGTGTCACTGCTTCTGAGGGTGCATGTGAGGGAGAAAGGGAGAGAGAGAAGGAGGGAGGGAGGGAGGATGGGAGAAAGAGAGGGAAGAAGGGAGGGAGGGCTGAGGAAGAGCAGAGAGGGCTGAAAGCTCTGCTGAGTGATCTTAGAGTACCTAACCTTTGACACACCAGAGACTCTGAGTCTCAGGCAAGAGCAGCGAACACACGGTATATTTTGTATGTGTCAGCTCTACAAACAGGCCTTGCTATTTGGGCAATTCTATGTTTACTGTGATGCCTAATCTGTTATCAATTGCCTCTTTTTGCAAAATTATGTCAGCCGGCCATGTATTTTCCTCCCAAAGGCACTTTATACTCCTGGGTGATCACTGTTATGTAATTGTTGTATATTCTGGAAAAGCTCCTTAACCCTGCGGAGACTGTGTGACCAGGGCATGTATGCGACCTGGCCGCCAGACAGGCAGCAGGAGCACCCTGTATATTTAGTGCTTCCTTTTCCCAGGAGAGAGCTCAGTTGTCACGACCTAATTTAGTCTGTGCAGATAAGAAATCAAAACAAAAGTTAAAGAAAGAATGTTTAATAACCAGGAAATCCTTTACTTATAAATTCAAAACCAGGTTGTTTAAACATTACATTGATAGAATGTCTAGAACACCAGCACAGGGCTAGACATTTAAAGGGCCAGCAGCCCCATTCCTACCTGTGCTTTCTGGGGGTGGGGTTGGTAACTCCCTCCTAGGTTCCTGTGAGCAAAAACCCTTTTTCAGTCCTCTGCATCCTCTTCTCTCTTAATCTTTACTTTAGTCTCACTGACAGCCCTTTAGAGTTTAGATAATAATAAGAAAAGGCAGTTTCCATTTACAGATGTTTTCTATTTACACATTTATTATATACTGCTTTTTTAATAGCTCCTGATAACCATCAATTCTCATGATGATAACATATGTGAAATGATTTCAGGAACTGCAAAGTACCATACACATGTAAAGTATTACAATTTTCTACATTAGTTTAAAAATACTTTAGTAAACATAGGTGCCAAAATCCTAAATAAAGCACTCACAAATCAACTCCAACAATCCAGTGAAAAGAATCTTCCTGACCAATGTGGGATTTATCCTAGGAAGGTGAGGGTGATTTAACATTAGAAAATATATTAATGCTTTGTAGCGCATCAACAAATTAAAGGAACAAAGCATATGATTATCTTGTGTAGTTAGCTGTCCTCCAATCTCTTATACTTCAGCAGTGTTTGTGTTTTAGCCGGGGAACACGCTGTTCAGTGAGGTGCTAATCCTCACCCTCCCTTGCAGCTAGCTGTGGCTCTGTGGTTAATATTCGGTCGTTGAGATGTGAGTGGAGATGACGTTAGCTACTCCAGGGTGCCACCCATACAGGACTGAGTATGTGCACCCCAGGCCCTATCTCCCCTTTTCTCTGACTTTAGATAGAGAGATGTGGGAACAACCAGCTTCTTAGAGAAGGAAACTGTATGTTGAGGATGGCACCCATTCCTGATTCTTATTAAGGGTAATATAAAGAAATTTCCTTACTGTGATAAAGAGTATCTTAAAGAATTAGTACATTAAGTGGAGGGGAAAACATTAGATGTGCATGCCCTTTCCCATCCATATTCTCAGCTAGTGATCTTACTGCCAGAGTCACTGAGAAAAATGCCCGTCAGAGGGAACTTTTCTGTCCTATTGGTAAATGAGGCAATTCACAGTGAAGCACTTAGCATATGGCCTGCCACATGAAAACCAGGTTATAGATGTTAAGTTTTATTAGTATCATTACTGTCAAATAGACAAATGGGAATGCCTCTGCCCCACCCTTCTCATGGTACAAGGAATCCGCAACTACAAAGGCCTAATCCTGTCAGTGCACAGTGCCCTACTGGGCATAGTCCCTGGCTGTGTATGATCAGGGCACACAGGGCTTTTATTTGAATTAAGAGAAAAGCAAAGGCCCTCTTTCTCTGCTGGTCTTAAACAGGATTATCTGTCAGGCTAAGTTGTGGCAGTTATCTTAGCAATACAAGGGGAAAAGATTGGGAAAAGGGCTGGTACAGGAGGAGAGCCAAAAAATCAGGACAAAATAATCTGATGACATGACTTGAGCCTTGATCAAGCCATACCTGAAATCAGAACCTTCAGACTTTGCAGTTATTTTGCTAAAGGCAGTCTGGGCTGAGTTTTCTGCCCTTTGCTCCCACATTATGTAAACAGGTAGTCCCAAACCAGAGTCATTAAATTTCATTACACTGTCATGCAATTTTTCAAGTGATCTATAATTTAATTTTATTTATTTGAGTTCATTGTAAAATTCACCCTTAGTGTTTCCATCTGTGTACACTTCAGTAAAGAATGTCCATGTCAAGCAAAATTATTGTTGCTTGCTTTGCATGTGTGGTTACAAAGCCATCCTTTGGCCATAAATAAGCAATCATGCTAGATAGCTCTTACGTGTGTTCTGTTAGCTTTTCTATTCCAGGGAGAGGTTAGTGCTATCCTGAACCATGTGCCTTTCCTAAAACCCATGTACTACTATACTTGTTGGGAATGGGAAGGATGTTATCTGGAACATAGTCTTATTCTGTAAAAAAATATTTTTTTTTCAGGGATAAAAATGAATTCAGAGTAGGTCTAGCTTAGGAGTGTAAACATTTATTATTTGGGAACCAAACTAATAATTTGTAGTGCAAGCTAACTGACATGATTTCTCCAGAAGATCTCTAAGCTCAATATATTAAAGGCTCACCTGGTTGTTGGGTAAAAGCTGGTTAATCTGAGCTCCCCCAAAGCTTTGCTGAAAACTTGAAATATGTCAAACACTGGGTGTGACTGAAGTGCATTTCAATTATGCACTGGATCCCTTAAGTGAAGATTCGTCATTACAGCCAGAGGTAGACAATCAATAACAACTAACTTTTATGAGCTAAAAAAATTAGGAGGTGCTAAATATAGTCAATTTTATTTTCCTTGATGGTTCTAGTAACTTAATTACTTCACCAATATTGGCTCCTCAGCTATATCTGAGATGATCAATGACTCACACTTTTTAAAAAATTCATTTTTCCTGGTTTACACATGTGTAGAATTTTCTATGAATTTATGATAGCTGTAGGAGAAGTAATAAATATAAGGTATTTTATTTATAGCCTCACCGTGGCATTTTCTTAGAACATAGTCAGTAAATCAGACTTAAAATAAAACTTACTTCTAGTCTTCGTGAGAATTTTAAATGGTTAAAAATGATATCATAGAGTTCAGGCTGAAATAAAACAAATCATTGAATACCAAATTGATTTTTTACAATAATTCAGTTTTGTTGTTTTGATCCTCACCCAAGGATATGTTTATTATTTTTAGAGAGGGGGGGGAGGGGGAGAGAGAGAGAGAGAGAGAGAGAGAGAGAGAGAGAGACATCGATGTGAGAAACATTGATGTGAAAAACATCTATGGGATGCCTCCTGTATATGCCCCCTACTAGGGATCAAACCCTGCAACCTAGGTATGTGCCCTGATGGGGGATCAAATTTGCAATCTTTTTGGTGTATGGGACAATGCTCCAACCAACTGAGCCACCCAGCCACGGCCAATTCAGTTTTTATTAAAGCAAATAATCATGTTTAAAGCACCATCTGCTTGCATATAAAATATTTTAAATTCTCATTTTAGTTTGAACAAAAACCAATATACATGTAAATCTCATTAAGGAGGAGACCAGTGGAATCACAGGATAGGAGACTCTGAGAGACCAAAATACCTCAGCATTATTCTCGTACTAATATTCTAATAAATGAAATTAAAAAGCAGAATCATTTAGCATAACTTCTAGCTGGGTGACCTAGGAAGATTTCCTAATTTTAAAAAATTCAGGTTCATTATCTTCAAAAACTCTAATAGTAAATGTACTGACTAATCCAAAGGATTGAGTGAGGATTAAATGAGATAATGCATATAAAGAACCCAGGACGTAGTTAAGTGCTCAATAAATATTAAGTTATTATTATCATCAACGTCATCTACCAAACAATTATTTAAAAGGTCCCAGGCAGTGTAAACCTTGCATTTTGACCAAGAGAGGTAGTGTGGGGGCAGGAAGGAGCACACCGACCTTGGCTTCCACTGGAGCCCAGAAACAAAGACTGAGCTTCTGGACAACCGAGAGCACCTGATACTACACAGACCCCTCCAAATAGCTGAGGACCAAGAGGCCCAGGCTGAGCAAGTTGTCATTTCTGCAACATGAAAGGGTTAACTTTCCACTGCACATTAGTCAATGAAAGGAATCTCTGAGGCAGATAAATAGAACATTAATCTTCAAAGGAAAAAATGATCATTAACTAGGGGTTAGCAACTAATGGTCCAACTCATTTTATTCTCTTAAGGGGGTATAAAATAAAAACTGTTTAATTTTTCATTTGAAATAGATAATCAAAGCAAACCTGGATTAGTGTTTTGTTTTGCTTTGAATTACCGGGAACTATCACATCAATTATTCTCCATTAGACTATTTTAATAATATATGGCAAGAACTTAAAATTACAATTAACAATCACAATATCTTAGATGTAATGAACTTACAGATATTTATGGCATACTATTATGTACCATTGTATAGAACAGGGAAATATACATGAAGCATCTCTTCTCACAATTTTTGCTTATTTGTTTGGCAGAAGTGACCTGGAATTGCCAACTTACTGAATCAAAATTTATGAGAGAGGCCTCGCCAACATGGCTCAGTGACTGAGCGTCGACCTATGAACCAGGAGGCCACTGATTTCCAGTCAGAGCACATGCCTTGCTTGTGGGCTCGAGCCCCAGTAGGGGGCATGCAGGAGGCAGCCAATCAATGTTTCTCTCTCATCCATGTTTCTATCTTCTTCTCCCTTCCTCTCTCTCTCTCTCTCTCTCTTTATCTCAAAAATAAAAACGTATTTTAAAGAAGTTATGACAGAGATCTTAACCTAAACAGGAATCAGGAAGGCCTGTGGGAGGAGCTCTCACACTCTATGTCACTGCCAGGGCCCTACAGGAAGAACCCTATGCTAAACATAGCTCTAGGGTTGGAACCACCCCTCCCCTTGACTTCCTCTTCCCCTCTATAAGGTACTTCCTCTTGTTTCAGGCAGAACTTGCACAGGGGTCACCATGTCTGCACTTTCCAGACTGCAATCCTTTCTTTTTCCCAAATAAATCTTTCTTGTGTGTGTGATAAAGTTTCTAGTCACCTTTGTTTTATGGTCAACAACTGGACAACTATTAAATGCACATTACTTCACTGGACTCATCTCTATGTTTCCTTTCAATATTCTCCAAAGTCGTCTTCAGTAGTCTTTGAAAACTAGAAGATCTCCCTCTACTACAGATCCAGATTGGAAAATCCCTTTCTTAAAAGCAATTAAAGTTTACTATTTTAGTTTCCAGAGCTAGGAAACTCCACACAGCCTCACTGCTGCCCAAACCTGGCTGCTTCCAAGCAATCCTGACCTCTGGAGGATCAGGCCTGGTGTCAGCAACATTCCCAGAATCACCCCCTTTTGTTTAACCCCTAACTTTCAAGCTCATCATCATTGGAAAAGAGGACTGAGAGGAATGCTCAGGTACTGTGGACCCAACAGGAATGTGAAGACAGGGGTGTGCTATCATGGTGAGGCCGGTGGTGAGGGCTTTCTGGCTCCTGCTCACCTGATCTGTTCACCCAAAGAAAACACCAGTTTTCAGCCAACCACTGGAAGAGGTTCCAGATGTGGACAGAGCCATGAAAAGCTGCTGCAGAACCACAGAGTTCTACTTCTGGGTGCCACCCAGCGACCCTCTGTCAAGTCCAATCTCCATATTTTTCAAAAGAGAAACCTGAGGCCCAGAGACTTACCCAAGACAAAAAGGGGGTTGTGGCAGCTTGGAAGCAAGCTTTTAAAAATGCTTAGAAAGATGAATGTAACTGATTGCTAACAGAGAAATTATGATCTTACAGATGAATGTTGTTATTTTGCATAAGCTAAGCTTCCTGGAAGAAGTAAAATCATTTAAATATTCGTATCAACAAAAAGAAAATTCTGAAATGTCCTCAATTAAATTATAGAAGACTGGAGGGTGGACAGAAGAAACAAGAGAGGTTAATCAGGGAACAGCTGCAGGCTGAAACCAACAAAAGACCGATAACATTCCTAGATATACTAGTACCTCCAAGCTTTGGTTTAACTTCCATCCAGGTGGCTATTTCTGCAGTTATCTAGACAGAATAGCCAAGAAGCCAACCACCAGGTGCCACTGCATCTTGCTTATGCGTGCTATTTCTGGACTGTTGCCCAAAGCAACCCCCCAAAAGCAAACACAGTTCCCTTATAGACTCTTCACCTGTCCTAGAACTAGCCCCCTTCACCTTCTCCCATCGTTTTATCTAGAGCCGATGTAAATTCTTTCAAAGCAACTTGTATCTTTCTTCTCCAAACAGTTTGTATAAAAGAGCCCCCCGTCAGCCCAGCCGATATTGCTCAGTGGCTGAGCGTCAACCTATGAACCAGGAGGTCACAGTTCGATTCCAGGTCAGGGCATATGCCTGGGTTGTGGGCTAAATTCCCAGTGTGGGGTGTGCAGGAGGCAGCTGATAAATGATTTTCTCATCATTGATGATTCTATCTCTCTCTCCCTGTCCCATCCTCTCTGAAATCAATAAAAATATAATTAAAAAAAATAAAAATAAATAAAACAGCCCCGATAATCTCAGAATACTGGACATGTCTTCTCCATCCAGCCCTGCTGCTGCTGGTGGTCCTTTCTCACGTGCATATAGCTCAATATACCTGCCTTTCAGAAAAGCTTTTGGCTTGGAAAGTTTTGCTTAATGATATAGATAATTCTCTCTTGGGCTTTGATCCTGTAATACCATTAACGATATATATTGTAAGGAAATGTGTAAATTGAAGCAGCAAATCATCATCTTTCTACCTCCTTTTTAGTTTTTTACCACATGAAACACAAATCTTGAATGCTTCTTAATTATTGAGCATCTGGCCTTGGAGAGGATAGTACTTGAAGCAAAGGATATGTGAATGCTGATGGGCTGGTTCTAGAAAGACCCAGCCAGTTCTGGGCCGCTGCTGAATACAAAAGGTAAGAGCATTTTTGCATCCAGAGAGAGAGAGAGTCCTTAGACATGGGACTGATGTCACTACTAATTTATGTAAAGTGGCTACTAAACAAAAAACAACAACAACAAAAAGTCAAGAACTAATGAGAAAGAATTGTTGTTTTCTTCTTTTGGACCTGTTTTTCAGCATTTATTTGAATTTCCCAAATTCTAGATAGGTTACTTTAAGAAACCCTGCTCATGTGCAGTCATCTTATAATTTATATCCATTGTGTACATGTGTACAATCTGCATCCACCACGGAGCTGAAGGCCTGTGCAGACACCCTCGCAGGCTGTCCATATGCTGTCTTCACAGTCTACACAGAGTGTCCGTTATTTGGTGCTAAGCGTTTCCCTTGGCTTATTCTGGAAATTATTACTTGTTCTCTCTTTTATAAACAACTCCAAAGTGAAACAAAATGATGGCTTTCTTCATCACATGAATAACTTTGATTTGGAAAATCATTTGCAAGTATTAGTTCTGGAGCCTCACAACCATTCCAACAGATTCCAACCATAAAACTGTTTCCTCACTAGAAACATTCCACTCGAATGTCAGGACTTCAGCCTTGAATAAGATTCTAGTGAAGGCAAAAGGCAAAATGCAGTTGCATATTTGGGTTGCTTAGCAACTGATAAGACAGCTTTCCAAATCTGAAGCAAATCAATAAATTCTAACTGAAATGTGAGAACAATTTATATGGGAATCATAGTAACTAAACGATAAATTCATAGAGTCAAGAAAAGCATGGTTGATTGTTCCAAGCACAGTGGTAGAATAAATTATTCCAAGTGTGGAAAGACTGGAATCATGGGAATGCTCTTAACGTCAGTGCAAATCTTAAAGGGGTCATCCAAGAACCAAAATTCTTAAAATAATGCCAAACGCCATCTGAAAATACATACAACATAGTCAATCTGTCTGGTTCCTAGGTGGGAGGGATTTTATTAATATGAAAAATTCTCCAAGTTCTCAGATTCCCTGTCACAAAAGAATGTGCAGTAATGATTCCAACCTCAGTTCCATTTATTTAAAATGTTAGTATACTTAAGTATATTTTTAAATGTCTTATTCTTAGCCTTCAGAATTTCCATCTGAGTACATAGGCATTTTCAGATAAACTGGATAGGGTTAATGAGATAAAGAGTTAACCAAGGATTGGGAAGAAAAAAGGAAGATATAGCAGAAGGCTGCACAGTTGAGCTGTATCTCGGGGCAGGTGTGGGAGACATAAAGGGGGCTGTAGCACCTCAGATGAGTGTTGGCCTTGGCCTTGCTCCCGAGGCTGGTAGCAGGACAGGAGCTTGGTCATTGCCAAAGCAGCTAGAGAAAAGTACAGTGTACTCCACCTTTAATGCTGTGAGTGATGCTTTTCTCAGCGTGACAAGGCTCTCTGATGCTGGTCCTCCCTGGTTGTGGGGGAGGCACGCAGACATAGCTATTTCAAAGGGTAAGCCGGTATGGGAATGAGAAATCCTTCTCCTGTCTCTGACCCACCGACAACCATGGAAGATGGTGTCAGTTCTGCATGGTGAGGGGCTCTTCTTCTTGTCAAGGGAGAAGAGCTGGGATTTGGTAGTCAGTCTCCTCCACCACAAGAATCAAGGGACATCCTTTGATTCACAGTAGCAAGGGACCCAGTGGAGAAGATGAGAGATCATGCTCTGGGAGTGATGCATCTTCCCTCAGGGTGTCAAATCACCTTTATGAGTATACTAGAGGTCTGGTGCAACAATTTGTGCATGGGTTGGGGCTGGGCCGGCCAGGGGGAGGGGCCACGGGCAGTTGGCCGGCCAGCCCCAACCCCTGGTCCAACTCCCAGTTGAAGGGACAATTTGCATATTAGCCTTTTATTCTATAGGATGAGTTTCCCATTGCCGTGACAAATGACCATAAACTTAGTGGCTCAAACAATACTAATTTATTATCTCACAGTTTTAGAGATTAGAAGTCTGAAAAGGGTATCACTGGCTAACATCAAAGTGTCAGCAGGGCTGTGCTCTTTCTGGAGGCTCTTGGGCAGAAACTCTTTTCCTTGGCTTTTCCAGCTTGCATTCCTTGGCTTGTGGACACAACACTCCACCCCCTGCTTCCTTTGTTACATTTCCTCCTCTCTCTCTGACTCTCATGCCTAAGGATCCTTATAATTACATTGGCTAATCCAGGATAATTTCCCTATCTCAAGACCCTTAACTTAATCATACCTGCAAAGTGCCTTATGTCATATAAGGCAACAGAGTCACAGGTTCTGCAGGTTCTGGAGATGGGGTGGGGGAGCATTATTCTGCTTACCAGACTGAAGGTGGAAGTCAGACATATTTCTAGAGGAGGCCCCCCAGAGGCATGCAACTGGAACCTGATCTTTCCAGATTATAGTGAAGGCCCCTGTGTTTCCCAGGTATTTACATGGTTGGAGAAGTAAGATGATTTATGATTTCCCTAAAGCCTTCAATCTGCTGGAATAGAATGACTTCAGCCAGAGGCTAATTTCAATAAATGTTAAAGCTATTCTTTTTCAAAGTTGAGAAGGATAGTTAATTCCTGTCTCCCTCTCCTCCCTGCCCCCACTAGCTGCTATCCCACACCCAATACTCCAAACCTAAATCCTAGCACATGAGCAA